ATTCCACTTCTTACATCTTCTTGAGCCTGCACACACAGATAAACCATATAGAAAAAAAAAAGGGATTAAAGACCCTAAAAACCATCATTTCCTTTCTTCTTTGGAAGCACACAAGGAAAGATTCTCAATAACAATGATACAAACACAATCCTAGCAACCAAAAACAGACAGAAAAGAGAACGGGGAATCGACTTCTTGGTTCTTCTTGAGGAGGATCCCAAAGCAAGTGCTAAAACGCATTCTCAACCAAAACTAAACATTACCACAACCTCCCAAAAAGAATTCGGCACACATATACATAACATAGCTCTCCAGATTCATACACAGCCACGAACATGACTTTTTTCCAGCCAAAATCATCATGAATACACATACATAAATTCCCAGATTTCTATGCATCACAAACATCATCAGTTTCATTAAGATACTACCCCCAAGCTCATACAAGCCACAGTCATAACTATTAAGTCACACAACCCAGTTCTAAACACAGTATCAAAATTATCAAACCATCAGGAACCCAGGTTTTAAAAGTCATTTTCATAACACCGAAAAACGAGATGCAAACAAAGCTAAAATTATCATAAACCAAACACCAATTCCAATCCATTTTCGAGTTTAAAACTTCTTAGCAGGGTTTGAGCCATTTTCAAAAGGATATCACCTCAGTCCTTCTCAATTTGAAATCTGTAAAAGAAACGCAAAGCCTCAACATCAGAACTCGTCTAACAAAAAACGAAAAAGCAGAGGAAATAAGAACACTGAACTTACCCAAAAACAAGTCCCCTCTCGTCGTCGTCTCCATCGTCCTTGGTTCCCAAAACAAACTCATAAAACAAGCAGAAATAAAGAACATCAGAATCTATAAATAAAAACTACAAATCGACAAAATCCTTACCCAGATAGTGAGCCGCCGCTGTTGTCATCGATAACCTCCCCGTCACTGGTGCTTCGCCGGAGTTAACATCTACGGAGCTCAATCCTTCTCCTCGTCCAAAACATCATCCAAAAACCCAGAAAGTTAGTTAAAATCCTCAAAACCAGAACCAAAATAAAAATGAAAAGTTCAAAACTTACCGAAAATCTGACCTTAGTCTTCGTCGCCTTTGTCTCCGGCGAAACCCTGAGTCACCGGTGACCTTTGTTCCTCCAACTCTCACCGAGAACCCAGTCGAAATAAAACAAAGGGTCAAAAACCCCAACAAAAAAACCATAAAACACTCAGCAAATCCAAATAAACGAACATGCAAGCCTCGAATCTTGACTTACCGTCGATTTGAGGGTTGTATGGAGCGCAAGGTTGTCAAACCGGGGGTCGACCCGGACCCGGACGAGCTAGTGGGTCATGGGTCAATGGATCACCCGTTTAAACCCGGTTTAGCCCGGCTTAGCCTGGAAAAGACAGATCGAGAGTTACCGAACATGGCGGGTATAGATGAAGAAAGTCAGTGTGATATGATCCTAATTCGAGAATCCACCCAAACTTTGACCAAAAATCAGAATTGCGCAACGCCGAACTCTTTTGGGGTTTTCTTCTTTCTTCAATGACACGAAAATAAAGATACTTGCGGAATCGATCAAACAAATCCGAACTCGTGAGAAGGGCCAGAAGGTATATGAAACCTTCCAAACAATCTCGAACCCGTGGAAGAGGCCAATCGATATCGTCGATGCTCGCCACAACTAGACGCGTTCTCTAGTTGATAACAGACCACTCAAACCTCCCGAATCCTCAAAGGAGAGATTAAGCAAAACGTTCACAAAGGAACTCGAGTAAACACTCAATGTATTTGATAACTGAAATCTTGGGTGTACAAAATTCGTAGCTCTTACATCCTCTATTTATAGAGGTCTCAAAAGCATAAAACTAACCTAAAAGGTCTAGGAAAACAAATCCCAGACTAACTAATAAACATAATACTACTTGAATAAGGACTAAAACTAATTGAACCTCTAAATAACCAAACAAAATAATTAACACAAAACTCCAAATTCCACAGCTGACGCGTCCTTCACCTTTTCCGTAGCGGTTACGGACACTTCTTCTCGGCGGAACTCCTTCACGTGGCATTACCCACAAACTAAATTACCCACCAGCTTCCTTTTGTCTTCACCTTCCAATTAATCCTTCAAGTGAGCGAATTTCCCAAAGCTTCCACGTAACCATACATCCATCCTCCCACCTGCTTGCTTTAATAAACTCATGAAGACTAATTTAACACTCAACTACAAACGTCCAAGCTAGCTTTGCCTTTGACTCATTCCATGTAATCTTGTAATAATAAAATCCCAGCCATGCATTTAAATGTTTTATGCCAAGTGACGAGCATGATTTGATCCATCAAGAATGCCCCTAATTGATCCTTGTATCGACGAACCTTACTCTTCCTTTTTGGACCACGGGAATTCAATATCGTGCTAGTTGATATCGCATCATTCCCTCTCTCTTGAAGAAGATTCGCCCTCGAATCTTTATAGAATCTTGATCTCCAATCAGCACCACTCTTCTTGCTCTTCCAACGAAATTGTATTGGTGAGGATGGCATTATTCCCCCCTTCTTGAGAACAATTGGTCCACGAATTTCATAGATACCATTGTGATGAAAGCTCTCCACGTACAGCTGAATTTCTTGTTGATTCTCTCGGCGAGCTGCCTCTTCTAACATTGCATCACCAATCACAAAATCAATTTGAGCAACTTCGAGAACTATTGGTGAATGCTCCATAATTTTCAAGCATTCATCTCCACCCTTGAATTCTGAATCCTTAATGTACTGTTTAACTTCTTGCGCACTCAAATCTGGAAAATCAACACGAATATCTTCTTTCGCCTCTTTTGCCTCTTCTAATTCTTCTACTTCATGTTCTGGTTCTTCTTGAGATGAAATCAAAACTTGTGAATCCTCTTCACAAGTGACTATAGTAAGCCCATCAACAAGAACCTCTTCTTTCTCTCCTTTGACTTCAGTTTCTACCTCAACTTCCTCTTCATGGATTGAACTTAAAGAAGCATCCCTTTTATCAACGGATCTTGCACTGACAGCCTCTTGCTCTTTTACCTTTTGTGGTTCTGGATATTTGGTCGACAATTTCTCTGCTTCAAGATTCGCTTGCTCCTCCTCATAGGCTTGTTGTAATTGCCTCCTATCTTCAGCAACCCCTTCCAATGATAATGGTATCAAAGCAAGTTTCTTTTCTTGATGCCTTATGATGATGTTGTTGGTGCTCCTGCTTCGTCGTGCTTGGTGATCATTGTGCCATGGTTTACCAAGAACCACCTGAGTAAGCTTCATAGGCACGACATCACAGTGAATTTGATCCACATAAGACCCGATTTTGATATCCAAAGACGCTTGTTCAGACACAAAAACCCAGGCCTTTTCCATCGACAATTGCATAAAGAAAGGGCTAGGATGTCGTTGTGCAGATAGCCCCAACTTAACTACTGCCATTGAACTGATCAAATTGGATTTGATCTCTCCATCAATAACCACAGAACACAACTTCTCTTGAACCCAACAACGAGTATAGAACATATTACCTTGGTCTACCTCTTCCGCCATTGCTGGATCCAAAATTAAACAAGAACCACAACAAAACACACAATTTTTTTTCCCTTCTCTTCTCACTGCCGAGGCTTTGTGGCCTTTAAACTACTTTTTTTTTCTTTCTTATACTCTTTTTTTTTAGTCACGTGAACAAAAGGAACATGAAACAAATTTTTTTTTTCTTACCTCTCTTTTCCACTCACGTACAAGGAACAAGAAAGAAACAAAACCAATAAAATTTAAAACAAACAAAACAAAAATGCTTTTCTACTAACGTAACGTGAACATATAAAAAAATAAAAATTCGAGTTTTTTTTTTTCTAGCAACTAATGATAAAATTACCTCTTTTTTTCCGCTGAGTTTGAACCAGGCTCTGATACCACTTGATATGATCCTAATTCGAGAATCCACCCAAACTTGGACCAAAAATCAGAATTGCGCAACGCCGAACTCTTTTGGGGTTTTCTTCTTTCTTCAATGACACGAAAATAAAGATACTTGCAGAATTGATCAAACAAATCCGAACTCGTGAGAAGGGCCAGAAGGTATATGAAACCTTCCAAACAATCTCGAACCCGTGGAAGAGGCCAATCGATATCGTCGATGCTCGCCACAACTAGACGCGTTCTCTAGTTGATAAGAGACTACTCAAACCTCCCGAATCCTCAAAGGAGAGATTAAGCAAAACGTTCACAAAGGAACTCGAGTAAACACTCAATGTATTTGATAACTGAAATCTTGGGTCTACAAAATTCGTAGCTCTTACATCCTCTATTTATAGAGGTCTCAAAAACATAAAACTAACCTAATAGGTCTAGGAAAACAAATCCCAAACTAACTAGTAAACATAATACTACTTGAATAAGGACTAAAACTACTAATTGAACCTCTAAATAACCAAACAAAATAATTAACACAAAACTCCAAATTCCACAGCTGACCCGTCCTTCACCTTTTCCGTAGCGGTTACGGACACTTCTTCTCGGCGGAACTCCTTCACGTGGCATTACCCACAAACTAAATTACCCACCAGCTTCCTTTTGTCTTCACCTTCCAATTAATCCTTCAAGTGAGTGAATTTCCCAAAGCTTCCACGTAACCATACATCCATCCTCCCACCTGCTTGCTTTAATAAACTCATGAAGACTAATTTAACACTCAACTACAAACGTCCAAGCTAGCTTTGCCTTTGACTCATTCCATGTAATCTTGTAATAATAAAATCTCAGCCATGCATTTAAATGTTTTATGCCAAGTGACGAGCATGATTTAATCCATCAAGAATGCCCCTAATTGATCCTTGTATCGACGAACCTTACTCTTCCTTTTTGGACCACGGGAATTCAATATCGTGCTAGTTGATATCGCATCACAGTGTGGCTGCAAAAATGGAGTCCTGCCATTTTCCTCCACACCAATGCAAGTCTCCTTTCACTTCATTTCTCGAAATCTTATTTCTCCTCTCTGTAATCAGTCCTCTGATGAGTAGTTATTGCCATTTGCCAGGCCACTGCTGAAATCTGAGAAAGAGGAGAGGAAGCAGTTGGATAAAGCAATGTCGCGAGCAGAGGCGCGAGCAGAGGCCGAGCAGAGGCGGAGCTGAAGGGAGAAGAGACGGAGCCGTGAAAGGCGACCTGTTCTTCCGCCGGCGACCGCAACTGCGATCGCGCCGCCAAAGAACCCTGGAGATGGCGAGAAGAAGAAGAAGTTTCGCTGCAGGGAGAAGAAGAAATGTAGTCTCTAGGGTTTCGCTGCAGGGAGAAGAAGAAGTGAACCCGAAGCGGCCAAAACAAAAACGGCGCCGAACCCTCCTTCTCGCCTTGGAAGAGTGCACCGTTTATTCCAAGCAAAAACGGCGCCACAGCGGCCAAAACAGGGCTCAGGAGAGCAACCCGTTGACCCATTCCAACGGGCTAACCGGCCGGGCCAACCCGGGTTTGACCGGGTTTATCTGGGTTTGACCATTTCCGGGCTGATAGCAAAATGGGTTGGTATGGCCCGTTTTTTTGTCCGGGTCCGGGTTAATCCGGGTCGACCCGCGGGTTAACAACCTTTGCGTCATCGTCGTTTTCGTTCGGGGCACTGGCTTGGTTGCGAGTAGGGATGGCAACAAAACCGAACCCCGGGTACTTACCTGACCCAATCCGGTCAACGCGGATAAAATCCGTGTTGACGGGTTTTGGGCCGAGTTCGGGTTTAAACCCGCTACACTATTTACCGGGTCGGGTTGGGTTTGGGTTTAGGTAAACCCGACCCATGGGTACCCGTCCACACACATATAATTACTTTCTCGATATATTTAATATTCTAAATAATATATCTTCTTTAAACAACTAATATTCTATATGTTTATGGAGACATGTATAATTTGTTCTTTCTAATTGTTTAGAATGAAGTGGATATTATGAAGTGGAGAATGAAGAAACTTAGTTGATGAGGAAGAAGCTTTCAATTAATCTTATTGTTTATATATGTTTATCTTTAATTTTGAACAATTTGTATTGATCATTTGCGGTTTGCTTGTATGCTCTAGATTGGTGTTTTTGTATGATTCATTTGTATGAGAAAATTGATGTTAAACTTTTATTTTGAAAGAAACTTGTTATTGTAAATTTTTACCACAAAAACCCACGGGTACCCATGAATCCGCGGATACCCAGAGGGTTGGGTCGGGTTTGAGTTTTTCAAACCCAACGGATTTTACCCCGGGTTTTTTTGGCGGATAAACCCATGGGTTTGGATTTGGGTTTGACAAAACCCGCCCCAACCCGACCCATTGCCATACCTAGTTGCGAGAAAGAAAAAGAGAGGAGGGTAAGAAGTGGAGAAGTAGAAGGAGAAACGAGGAGGAAGCAGATCGGATCGAGAGGGGGTTTTTCGTTTCTGGGAAAGAGAGGCAGATCGAGAGGGAAAGAAGCGGATCGAGTGAGGGAGAGAGAGGAGTTTTGTTAGGGTGTTAATCTTTTTTTTTGTCATATAAAACTTGGCAGATTTACAAGGCAAGGATAAGGGTGGCCACAAAAGCTCAGCGCACTCACTTATCAAATGACAGATAAAACAAATAGGAGAAGTCAAACAAACATGGAGGTAAACCAGGAAAGCTAAAGGCTTGTTTCGTCACTGAATGGACAGTCCGATTCGCATCTCGAAGTGTGAATTGTAAAATGACCTTTGGCAACTGTAATAAAAACGCATAAACCTCAGAAAAAATAGCACCTGCACGTGCGTCAGATAAGTCGCCCGAAACTAACTTGTCAATGACCACCTAGGCATCTCCCATAAGCAGAACCTCCTTATCATGCCAATGCCCGTTGAATCAAATAAAGCGCTTCCCATATAGAGAGCAACTCAATCAAGCCAGGATCGGAGACACCGCGGATAAAAGAACCAAAAGCGAATGTCGGAACAGCTCCAGTTAGACTGACAATACCAAATGCTCTAGACTGATGAAAAGAAGTGGCTCCATCAACCGCCAACCGAAGGCCTTGAAAAGTACCACATAAAACGTCCGAAGAAGCCCTATTGCGCGGCGGCAAAACTGGTTGGGGTATAGGAGCAACTATGGCGAGGCGGTTGGAATCTTGATGGGAAAGGAATTGACGACGAAAAAGAGGGATAGTGAATTGGGCATAAGGAGAGAACACAACATTATTACACCATTTCCAAAAACACCAACAAAGAAGAAGCCAATCAGAAACAATATCCGGATCAGCATGGCACAATAGTATACGCCACAACAAAGTGAAATGGAAAGAAGAATCAAAATCCGGTGGGAGAGTGAGGCCAATGGCATTATGGAGGCGAATAGCCACAGGACAACGGATAAACAGATGCGCAAGAGATTCTCCTTCGTCGGATTCACAAATCGGACATAAAGTGGGAACATCGAGTCCATGTCGCTGCAAGTCTTCACGAACAAGCAGAATCCGAAGCAGCATCCGCCAGAGAAAAAACTTGAGCTTTGGCATAACTGGTAAAGACCAAACCTTTGGCCACAAAGAGGGATCAAGCGGAGAGGCAGTGTCCACCGACAGGGAAGGATAATTAGTGGAATGAGCATTGATATGAAGACCAATGTGATAAGCCGACTTTACTGAAAAAATGCCATTGGTGGTATGTTGCCAAACATACTTATCCGGAGATGAAGTGCGGGGAATGGGAATGGCAAGGATGCCTTGAACAGAAGAAGTATCAAAATATTCACATAATCGAGCCTGATTCCAGGTTGAAGTGGTAGGAGAAATAAAGTGAGAAACAAACAAAGGAGAAACTTGTACTGAAGGAAGACAAGTAGGACGGAAAGTAGGTAAACTAGGTAAGCAAGGATCAGTGAACGCGACAATAGAAACACCAATATGAACCTCCCATCGTAAACCATGAAGAAGTAAGTCGCGACCATGCAGAAGTGATTGCCAAGCCCAAAGACGGGGTGGAGCCAGAAGTGGCAGAGAGGAAAGAGCAATGGGGGAAATATCGACCCTTCAACACACGAGCAACGAGCGAATCGGGGGAATGAAGAATACGCCATCACTTCTTGGCCAATAAAGCCTGATTGAAGGTACATAAATCCCGAAAGCCAAGCCCGCCAGAGGCTTTCGGTAAGCACAACTTTTTCCACGAATCCCAAGGAAGATGACGTTTAGTGCCTTGATGACCCCACCAAAACCGAGCAATCATACGATTAAGATTACGGGACAACTCCTTTGGTAGGCGAAAGCAAAAGACATAGCATAAACAGGTATAGCCGAGACAACATACTTAATCAACATTTCTAAACCTTCCAAAGAGAGACAACGACGTTTCCACCCTTGAAGACGTTTGGCCACCGCCTCCTCAATGTAACAGAAAGTTTCACGCTTAGACGACGAATAAGAGAAAGGAGTCCCAAATAACGATAATGAACACCAATGGCTCCCACCTGGAGTAGCGCCGCAAAGGAAGAAGCTTCACTTGTAGTCGTATTCTTAGAGAAAACCACCGCTGATTTGGAGAGATTAACCTGTTGCCCAATCATATGCTCATAGCGGTGCAGAAGATGTAAGAGGAATTGATAGTCCCTCTTCGAAGCACGAAGAAACAAGAAAGCATCATCTGCGAAAAACACGTGGGAAAGAATGGGGCAATGATGTTTAAAGCGCATACCTTTGAGATCACCCCTAGAAATAGCCTGGGAAATCAGAGCAGAGAATCCTTCAGTACAAATCGCAAAGAGTAAAGGTGAGAGAGGGTCCCCTTGCCTCAAACCCCGTGAAGGAGTGAAATAGCCATAAGCACTACCATTCATAAGGACAGAAATAGAAGTCGTCGTGAGACAATTTTGGAGATAGCCAATCCAACGAGAGTGAAAGCCAAGTTTCTCCATCACGCGAAAACAAATAAGACCATTCAATCCGATCGTAAGCCTTTTCCATATCAAGTTTGAGAGCCATAAAACACTCCCAACCAGTACGCTTATTCTGAAGATAATTCATAACTTCCTGACCGATCAGAACATTATCAATAATGGAATGATCTTTAACAAACCCATTATGGTAAGAAGAGATAACTTGAGGCAGGATTTTGCCAAGGCGAGTTGCTAAAAGCTTGGAAATGACCGTGTAGAACACCTGACAAAGCCCAATTGGCCGAAGTTGCTCACACGAACTGGCATTCGGTACTTTTGGAATGAGCGTTAGCCAAGTATGATTAAAAGATCGCAAGAGATGACCAATACGAAAAAAAGATTGCACAACTTGAATGACCGAAGGCCCTACCATATCCCAAAAATGATGAAAAAACAGACCAGTGAAACCGTTCGAGCCAGGTGCCTTAGTGGAACCTATTTGGAATACGATTTGCTTAATTTCCTGTGCAGTAAAAGGTGCGAGAAGCACGTCATTCAAGGCAGAATCAACCCGAGTTTGAACGTGTAGATTATCAACAGCTTGAATCGCATCAGTCGGGACAATTTCGGAAGTGAACAACGAGGTATAATGAGCTACCGCAACTTGCCCCTTAGCTTGTTCATCGGTATGAATGTGACCAGTGGGATCCGACAGGGTGTGAAGAAAATTGTGCGCCCGACGAGTCTGGGTAACGCGATGGAAATATGCTGTATTGCGATCCCCACGCTGCAACCAAGTGAAGTGGGAACGCTGGCGCCGGTACGCCTCCTCTTGATCCCAAGCATGCGTTAGATCTCGTTCTAAACTTCGAATATGGTCACAATCTAGTACGGGAGAAGCGCGTTTGCGACGAAGTTCATGAGTGAGGTCATGGATACGACAAAGAGAGTTGGTGGAGCCTGCAATAACCCATTGATAGAGAGCATGACAAACCCGTTTGAGTTAGGTATGGAGGCAGAACATGGGAGAACCAGTAACAGGCCGATTCTAGTAGTACTTAATGATGAGACGTGCTTCAGGATTATGTATCCATCTGGCATCAAAGCGGAACAAACGTTTAGATCGACATAATCGCTTGTGAGGGGACCAAAGAATCATGTGATGATCAGACCCAATATCATTCAAATGATTGATCACGGAATTGGAAAGATGTTTAGAACCTCTGGGGAAAAAAGAAACCTATCTAATCGGGTTTCGATGAGAGCTGTCTCGGAACTATGATTTGAACGAGTAAAGGGGTGCCCATGGAACCCAATATCTATGAGACCCAAGTCGTCAATGAAATCGGAAAAATCGGAAGCAGCCTAGCGATCAAAAGTAGCTCCACCACATTTTTCATCATTATTTAAGACAACATTAAAATCACCAAATATAACATAAGTGAGGTCTATAGAACTAAAAGTAGCTTGCAAATGAGACAATTGAACTTGGTGAGTCGCAACATGGAAAGATAAATACACACCAACTAGTAGCATACTTTTATTAGACGAAATATCCCAACGATAAATAATTACATTAGGAGATTTATCAACAATCTCACCACACATAGTAGAATCCCACATAAAGGCTAAGCCACTCGCCGAAGTGATAGTAGGCGGAACAACACACGAATTGGTGAACCCCAAATGAGCTATAATAGAATAACGACGATATTCATTTATTTTAACTTCAATTAAGAACACAAACTTAGAAATTACGACGAATAGTAGATTGGAGTTCACGGAATGTCAAAGTACCTCTCAGACCTTGACAATTCCAACTCAATAAACTCACTGATCATTTGGTGACCATTCAGGGCTGGTCACCACCAGCGCACCATCAGCAGGAGTAGTCTTCACTTTATCCAAAAAAGAAGCTGGCTCAGGCCCAAAACCACCATCAGCATCGTCCTTTAAAGGAAGCGAGGCTTCTGGCCCCAAGCAGTCAGAGGGAGGCCAAAACAACGCGGCCCGTAATTCAGCAGAAAGACTCGGGCTGGACTGTTGACCAGAGTCGGCAAGAAGAATTCTCAACTTTCAGAGGGCCCAACGCAACCTCCAGATCCTTGCAAGTAGCATCAACATCCGCCAAGAATGCCAAGGAGCGGAACGCCTTTTTTTCCGTCGGAGCAAGCAGACTAGTCGGCGAACCCTCGGATTCCATATCAGCAGCCAGACGTTTCCAATCCACAAGCAGGTCGTCGTCAGATATTCTAATGCGCAGGGCATTGACATATTTAGTAGGTGGAGATGGCGGATACTCAAGGAGAAGCTGCTTGCCGCGAGAAGTCGGCGGGGTTATGGGTTCCGCCTTCGGAACGCACGGTGGCGATGTAGAGCCGACCGAACTGGGAGACCGCGCGAAAGAGGATCCAACCCCCGTAGCGGTACCCAACACCTGAGGTGGTGCCGCAGGGAGAGCCAGCATCGGATTCGATGGGTAGGGGCTAGGATTAAGACGCAAATCCGACAGGCTCGTCTCTAGAGGTGGAATAGCATCTTTAGCGCACAACAGGGCTGCGCGGAAAAGGTTGATTGGACGGAAAGTGTCTGGGTCTAAGAGAGTACCCTCTGGCGCCACCGACATCCATCGACCCCAAGCCGCAGGATTGTATTCCATCGAATCCTTGTGGGGTCAATTAGCCTTATTGTGTCCAATCAATCCACACCGATAGCGGACCGGTGGGAGCCGTTCATGACATAGATACACCCAGAACCGGCTAAAATCCCCCGGAGAACAAGAATCCCTAAGTCAGCCATAAGACGCCCGCGGAAGGGGATAGTGACATCCAACATTACTTTACTTTGAGGAAATAACCAGCAGAAGTACGCGAGCCAAAGAGGCCAACGTCCAAAACCTCCCCAGCTGCTGCAGCAGTTCCCGACCGAAGTCAATAGTGCAATAGTCATGAGGGACGCCCCTGAGTTGAACCCAGAATGCCATTGAGGTCATACAATCGTACAACACCTGGGTCGGGGCTACCCACGCCTAAAGGTTGAGCAAGTACTTCCGGAAAGGCCAGGGCTGCTTTGTCAGAGCCCGCTCACGATCAGGCTTAGTCGGGAATACAATCCTCAACATACCAAATCCAGCATCGAACACGACAAGACCCACATTGAGGCCCCAAAGCTTGCTGAGAATTTGTTGCAACAAGACTGAGAGCAGCACGCCTCTCTGAAAATCTCTTTATTGGCACCAGAGACACGAACAACGATATCAGCCGCAGACGGAACATTGCTAGAAGAAGCCATGATCATGTACAAAGGATGGATGGGCAAAAGGAGAGAGTAACAATGGAAGACATGGAAGAGGCGAACTGTGATATAGAATCAGAAACAGAGGCAATCGCCAAGGAAACTTCCGTAGAAAAGTAACGACATGGAAGATAATGGTGATTCGCTAACAACTGCTTGGGTGGGCAGAGTCGGAGATGAGGATGAATTGAAAATAACCAACTGGGTGCGGTTGAGAAAACACAACCGTTGAAGAGTAGCACGCCCATAGCGTGTGGATGGTCGGACTGCCATATCTCCCCAACCATGGGAGTAACAGAAGAGAGAAGAGAAGAGTATGAAGGAACCGCTATATTCAACTGCCATACCCTCGTCGTTTTCCTTTAGCTAATCGTCCTTCACAAAATGACTAAAATACCCTCCTTGTTTTCGACTAATTACCCGCTGCCACTCTCGGATTGCTTCCTTCAGAGAAAGTTAATATGCTAACTTGAAGATTCGTTAGCAGATACTAACTGATATCCAAAATACATGTACTAATATCCAAGTATTAAAGTATCTAGAGGGCACAAACTAGTATTCAAAGTTTGCTAACTGCTATCCACCATGAATCAACTATTATCACAAATTCACAAACTAATATCTAGACAACACAGAATAGTATCCAAACATCACATAATTAGTATCCAGATAACACATAAGAGTATCCATATTGAATACAAGTTGGTTGATTGTGGATATTAGTTGGTATCTGCTATCTGGATACTAGTTTGTAATGTTTTGAATACTAGTGTGTGCTATCTAGATACTCAATAGATTTGGATATTAGTTCATACATTTTGGATATTAGTTAGTATATACTAACGAATCTTCAAGTTAGCATAATAACTAGGCTGGCTTCCGTGGAATCCAAAAATATATGCCCTGTTAAGACTCTAACCAGAGACCATGATTTCAGTAATTGATTTAGGTCAGGGCGATCAACCACTAAGCTATGTCATCATACTTGAGAATTTGATCTCCTCGTCTCGTTTTCTTCGTGTTCAAGCTTAATACGTAATATTCGTGTCAACTAATCGTACTAGGATTTTTGTTTCGACCAAATTATGTATACCTCTAAACATTTCAAAATATTATAAAGCTTCATTACCACATTCACTTTGGCTTCATTATTCATACCCACGCTCGTTTTACTTAGAAAATATCTTAATACGAAATCATGATAAATAAGCCGTAATAGTTACCCTCGCTGGAATCATTTGAAAGATGGTTTTACCACTCAACTACTAAGTTGAAACATCATAAATACATCTCCTAACAACTCAAATTACCTTAATCGCAATCAATAGAATGTGTTTTAGATCACTTCTTTCAAATCGCTCTTATTTAATCGAACTATGTGGACTTTGATCCCGACTACTCGGGTACGTAGGCAACCAATAGGTTTCAAGTCCGACTAACAAATTTGCTCCCCTTTAATCATAAATACCAATTACATTTCTTAAATAAGAAAATAAATTATTATCTTAATCACGTATCAATAGAAACGTGTTAAGATACCCTTTTCAAAAATAATCAACTTGACCGAAGTAAGTGAACTTTGATCCCGACTACTCTGGTACGTAGGCAACCAATAGGTTTCAAGTCTGACTAACAAATTTTCTCCACATTCCTAATATGTGAGACTCAACATTTAAAAATCCCAATTATAAATGAACTATGTGGAATTTTCTCCCGACTACTCAGGTGCGTAGGCAACCGATAGGTTTGTGTCCAACTAATTATAAAACTCTTTGTTTACCTTCCGGGATTTACGTCAATAGATGTAATGATCAAATCATGTATTAATAAATACCTAATTAATCGAATCTTATAATTATGTGCGCAAATAAAAGCCGCAAATAATAATACACCCAACCCTTAAAAAACTATCAATTTAAGTAGTACCAATTTTGGGCGTTGTGAGGTGTGAATACACTTCCCCACATGTAACCATACTCCCAAACCCAAATCTCCAAAATTTTGGAGACCAAATCCCGTTTTTGACCCTAAGGTCGAGAATGGAACATTAGTGTTCGACCCACTACAAACTAAGGTCGATGGCGACTCCGAGCAATTCGCGACGGATCTCCGATCTCGGAGGGGCGGTTGCGACACATGGAACTAGGGTTCTTCATATCCAAGTGAGAGAAAGGTCTACTCCACATATAGAGAGAGAGAGGAAAACAGAAATCAAAGTAGTCATACTCATAAAGATGGGAATAATCTACTCTGGGATGTCAATATTCACTCCTAGGGATGAAATTAGGGCTTCAATGATGAGAAATCTACTCCAAATAGCTCATAGGGTTTGTTCTTCGCACTTTCTCTCTCTAGAACTTTGTTTTTGCTCAAAAAGTCGAATCCCCTCTCCAAAACCCGAAATTGGGTTAAAATGCAGTTGTCCGCGATTGCACGGCCAGACCGCACGGCTGTGCAACCTCCTCGGCTGCTTGTGCACCCCAAAACTCGCCGTTAGAATTAGTTCTGTGACTCGCAAGAAACTACACCACAAATTAATCCCGACTAGAGTCCAATTTTTTAAACTCTAGCCGGGTGCAGTATAGAGCAAGTATTTAAATTTTCAACCCGGGGCGGTCCATGTACCCCTACTTCAATCGCTTAAGTTGTTATTTAGCAAAACAATTTTGGGGTTTAAGTCTAATGGAACTACAAACTAAACAAGCCAGGAAAAGTAAATGAAGGAAAATCCTAACTAAGGGAGCTTCACCCAGTAGTTGCTTCCCCCTAACTAGCTACCGTGACTCGTTGGATTTAAAAGATTGTTATGAGCAAGGTAACCCCGAACCATAGAGGGATGCATATATGGTCATAGACCACAATCTCAATTGCTAAACCGAGGTGAACATTACGGCCGTGTCACTCGACCCTCTCGGTTTAGGCAATCGGTGGTTGATTTACTCACTCACTCAACTCAAGGGTTGGATGGCTTGATCGCGCTTAACCAATTTGCTTAGTTCAACATTGAGGTTTGCCCTAAATTAACCTAGTTAATTAGGTGGCTAATTAGATTGCTAAGCACCAACATGCACAAACCTAAGGATGCTAAGCACAATTATGCACAATCCTTAGGTTGCTAAGCACCAACATGCACAAACCTAAGGATGCTAAGCACAAAACATGCACAACCCTTGGATTGCTAAGCACAAGCATGCACAATCAACATGAATAATACCTCAATCATTGAATTAAACAATCAATCAATCTAAACAAGTAATTATAAAGTATTAGTTAGGGATCTACAACACCCAAGAGAAAAGAGTGAGTTTCTAGAGAGAGAGAGAGAGAGAGGGATTACAAATTTGAGCTCAAGATCTTCTTCTTCTTCTTCTTCTTCTTCTTCTAGGCTTGAATATCCACCCAAGCCTCCAATGATACTCCAAGATCACTCTAGCACTCTCTCTCTCTCTCTCTCTCTCTCACTAGAACTCCCCTTTGGTGTTTTAGGTTGAAAACCTAGAGAAAGAAAGTGTTCCTTCGCCAAAAACCAGCTCTCCTTTCTCTCTCCCGGCTGTTGTCTTCATATTTTCCCGAAAGTGATCACTTCACGGACGCGTTGGCCAATTCATGGCCGTGAACACCTGAACGCTTATGTGAACTCAGTCGTCTCCAAAACGCACCGCTTTGCTTCTTGGGTTCACGATCAATGACCCCAGTTCACGGTCTTAGAGATTGTGAACTTGCCCGGCGTCAGTAACTTTGGATTTGGCCTTGGACGCCTTGATGTTCACAGCCCCTGCCTCCTCTTCACGGTCTTAGAAGACCGTGAACTGCCTTGTCCGACCATTAACTGCGGTTGTTTCTTGGACGCCTTCACTTCAGACTTTTCTTCAGTTTTGCACTTTTTGACCTCCAATTATCACAAAATCGACCGCGACCCTTCCACACGTGCTAGGACATGAAACGTATCAAAACAAGCACAACCTAGCGTGAAATATGTCGAGGAACGATGAAATACTAAGCTAAACTAATAAGAAATGAGGGGTAAAACGTGTACATTTGGGCCCGAATCATTACTCTAGGAGAGTGCACAGCCATTGCACGGCACGTGCAATCCGAGAGCCTGGTCGTGCAGCCTCTCGCATAATTCATCACTACCAGAAAATGAGTCGTGCAGGCCGTGCAAAAATAGGGTTAGGCCATGCGATGTCTTGGTAAATCCCGCACTGCCAAAAAGGTCACTTGCACGACCCGTACCACCTTGCCCGCGCAAAAGAGTGATGCACGATCGTGCACTTTCCCATACTGGTCGTGCAACTTGTCTGCTCTCCATCGCTCATCCCGATTTCGCCCAATCGACCCCAAACTTGTGCTCAAACCTTCATTCACTCATTATGACCTGAAATGTCATAAACAAGAATAACCTAGCGTAAAATCGGCTTAAAACCCGAGATCCGAGCCTTAAATAGTATAAGAATGGTGGACAAAAACATGTGTAAATATCAAGTCATCAAACTCCCCCACACTTAACTGTTTGCTTGTCCCCAAGCAAACCTGACTCAAACCAATGCAACTCTCCAGACCTTTATAGCAACAAACAACCCCGATCGTCGGTAGAGGATTTTCTAGATCAATTGGCAACTTACGAGGTCAACTGGTCTTTTATAACATCCCCTATCTCTCTCAATGTGAGTACTAGACTCAATACAGGATTATGAGAAGCTGTGGAACTAAGACAGTCAA